GTCGGGCAGAGAGCTGCCTCCCTCTGACGCCTCCATTCACCTGCATGCTCCGCACAGCAGAGATAGGCGGTCTCACGCTCACATTTCAAATGGGGAAACTGAGGCCTGAAAAGGTGCAGACACCTGTGGAAGCCTCACAGCCAGACTCTGACCTGGCCGGGGTGAGCAATGAAAACCAAGGCCACTGCGGGCCCTGGCACATCAGGTTGACGTCAAAGGGGCTGGATCCAGGGAAGGAACTTGAAGGGGGTTTCCAAAGCTGCCCCAGGGGGCCTGGCCAGCCCCCACTGCCCCTCCTCACTGCTCAGCTGAGATTCTGCCACTCCCATAGTGGACGCTCCTGGCTTCCTCTGAACCCCAGACCACTCCTCCCCAACCATGCTGCCTGGCCCCAGATGGCAGACCCTTGAGGAGGGCCAGTTGCATGGATGCCTGCAGGGAGGGGCCCTTCAGTGCCCCTCACAGTGGGTAAAGGAGCAGCCTGGGGCAGGGCTCAAAGCCCCCATCTTCTACCTTTCCTTAGTTGCGTGGTTTTCCTCCCAGAACCTTAGTCTCCTCGTCTGTAAAATGGGCACAGGGTGAGGGCCCCGTTTGCCGCGATTTGGAGACTGGGAAGCCATCTGTCACATAGTGACTGCTTGGCAACCAGTGGCAGCCCTGGTGTTAGGGGCCACAGAGCTGGCCTTGAACAAGGAGTGTCAGCCTGCTTGCCTAGTTGCCAAAGCTTTCCCCAAAAGCCTGTGGCCTCAGGGGTTAGACAGGGGTGGGCAAACTTTTTGACTCGAGGGCCACAATGGGTTCTTAAACTGGACCGGAAGGCCGGAACAAAAGCATGGATGGAGTGTTTGTATGAACTAATATAAATTCAAAGTAACATCATTACATAAAAGGGTACGGTCTTTTTTTTTTTTTTAGTTTTATTCATTTCAAACGGGTCGTAGTTTGCCCACGGCTGGGTTAGAACCTGCTCTGAGGCCGCTGGGGTGAGGAATGGTAGGAAGACTGGCGGCCAGATGGACATGAGCTGAACAGCCATGGGACCTTAGACAAGTCCCTGGACTGCCCAGCACCTCCACCCTCTCCTCTGGGGACAGTGGACCTGCTCAGTGCCCTGGTCTCTGATTGGGTTGGTGTGGTGCCAGGGAGATACAGCCCACCTTCTCTCCATCTTATGCCACATGGGGGAGGTCACAGAGGACATGGGGCCCAAGGCTGCAGGCTCGCAGCTCCGAGGGGCCCCCCTGGAGGAGACGGGACAGAAGCTGGCGGCGCCAAGGCAGGGTGTCCCACCTGGAGCCCTGCTGGCGAGGCGGTCCTGTGCGGGCAGCCCTTTCAGCATCAGGTGGGCATGGGGGGAATTCAGGACTGGCCCTAGGCCCGCAGGCAAGTCGGGGGCTAGGCTGCTGGTATGGTGACTCACTGGGAGGGGAAGTTCTTATCACCGCTCCCGGTTTCCGCACTCTGCTCCAGCAGGACCCTCTGCAGCCAAGGTGTGGCGGGAACTGCACCCCCTGCCACTGTGAGCCCGGCCAGGCACAGTGAGGACGACTGCGGACGCCTCTCCCGACTGGACTGTCTGCAGGGGCCGGGCCGAAGCCACACGGGCTCACAGGCTGGGAGGGTCTTGACCACAGGCAGCCTTCCCCGAACGCCACCACCCCAGCCACATGCCTTGCCCACCTCCTCCGTGAAACCTCCCCGCCAGTCAGGGCCCTGACAGCCTGTACCCTGTGCACAGTACTTCTGGCAACACCCTTGAATCCCTCCTCTGTTCACCCAAGAGCTCCCACAGGCCCGGGAGCCAGAGCTCCAGGCTCCAGCCTAGGTTCACCATTTGAGCCTGGCAGTACGGTCTGCCTGGCTCACACGCCCTTCTCTGGTGTCCTCCATGGTTCTGTCCTCAAGGTGGGGCCGCTCTGGTGGTGAGCTCAGGAACAGTTAAAAACAAGATGGGTGTCCCTCACCCCCAGCTCGCAGCCCCCGGGAGGCAGTAAACACAGAATCACTAATAACCAGACAGTTCCAGGTCTGGAGGGAGAATTTAAAAAGCAAGGTGATGTCTGGGGGGTGGGGGGGGCAGCACCCTGGGTGGTCTACTAGGTCTGGGTGGGGGCACTGTTACCGAGGTGACCTCTGAGCTGAGATGGAGGACGGGAGGTCAGGGTGCAAAGGCCCCAGGCAGGAGCAAGGTCTGAGATGGCAGGACTCAAAGCACCCAGCACCAGGATCCGGGAACCCAGCTGCTGCCTGTTGGTCTCGCCCTCCCAGGTGCATGGAAGGAGCCCGGGGCAGGCCCATCCAGGGGAGGCGGGTGCTGTGCACATGTGGGGCCTGGGAGTGGGGGTGGGGCATCCCACACTCCCACCTCCAGCTCCTCCAATGAGGCCTGGCCCCCTGGGAGGCTGAGAGGGGTGGTGGCTGCCTTTCCCAGACTCTGGCCTCAATCACTGCCAGGTCCCGAAGGGCCGCCTTTGTTGTATGTGGAGGGATGGCAGGTCTGGTTTCCTCTGGGGCGGGGAGGGGCAGAGGGAGGGTTAGGCTCCACTGGGCCAGTGGCCAGGGCCCAGCCCCGCCCCCACCCCAGGCTCTGGGCACCTGCTCCTCCGTGATAGGAACAGCAGGCCAGGACGCCGGGAGCCCTCTGTCCCCCCAGGGGACAAGCCCCTGGCAGGTGTCTGGACTGTGATGGAAGCAGCTGCCGGGCCTGGGGTGGGATCATTAATCCTGGGACAGCTGAGGCAGGTGCCAGCATGACCCCACTCTTCTGATGGGGACACTGAGGCTTAGCAGCTATCGTGACTTGGCCAGGTCCCAGCGCTCAGAAGCAGCAGAGCCAGAGGTCCAGGCCTTGCCTGCTGGCTGCCCACATGCCTCCACTCTGGGGCCTGTCCCCACAGGCCACTGGAACGGCTTGGTTCTGTCTCTCTGGAGACTCTAGTCCAGATGGCTCTGGGTGGAAGCCTGGCAGGGATGTGTGGGAGACACGCTGTTGGGAGGCGGGGAGGGGGTCTGGCTGTCTGACTGTTGCTGGCCGCCTGGGCCCCTCGCCTCCAGGTGATTCCAGCCTTCTGTTTGTAGGGGGCAAGTGAGTTGCCCCTTGACTGGCCCCTTCCCCCCAGCTCCAGCGGTTCTTCCTGCCCCAGGGCCTTTTTGCGGGCAGTCCCTCTGCCCGGAGTACACAACTCCTTATAGAGTACGCCACCTCCTCAGAGAGGCCCACCTTGATTTTCCCATCTAAAGTGGATGTCCCTGCCCTGGCCAGTGTGGCTCAGTTGTTTGAGCGTTATCCCACGCACCAAAAGGTTGCTGGTTTGGTTTCCTGTCAGGGTCTGTATGGGAGACAACCGATCGATGCTTTTCTCTCTCCCATCCTGTCTAACAAAATCAATAAAGTCCGGCCAGCGTGGCTCAGTGCTTGAGCATCGACTTATGAACCAGGAGGTCACACTGATTCTCGTTCAGGACACATGCCCGGTTGTGTGTTCGATCTCCAGTGGGGGCTGTGCAGGAGGCAGCCAATCAATGATTCTCTCTCATCATTGATGTTTCTATCTCTCTCTTTCCTCCCTTCCTCTCTGAAATCAATAAAATATTTAAAAATAAAATAAATCAATAAAAATATTAAAAAAAACAAATACATAGCCTGGCTGGCATGGTTCAATGGTTGAGCATCAACCTATGAGCCGAGGCACATGCCTGGGTTATGGGCTCTATCCCCAGTGTGGAGAGTGCGGGAGGCAGCTGATCAATGATTCTCTCTCATCATTGTTGTTTCTATCTTTCTCTCTCTCCCTTCCTCTCTGAAACCAATAAGAAGATATTTAAATAAGTAAGTAAGTAAATAAATAAATAAACCAACTGGGTGTCCCTCTCCTTCCCCTCCTGGTCTCTCCACATGGATGTGACCACCTCTCACATGAGCTATGTCTCCTGAGTCGGGAGCACAATAGACACAGAAAATGAGTGAATGGTGAACGAGGGTCCCAGGTTGGGGTGTATGATGTGGGAGGGTGAGTGGAGGGGACAAGCAGTCCAGGCCCTTCTCCACCATCTGCCCGCTCCGTCCCCCCAGGGCCAGTACTGTGACATCTGCACAGCCGCCAACAGCAACAAGGCGCACCCCGTGAGCAATGCCGTCGACGGCACGGAGCGCTGGTGGCAGAGCCCACCGTTGTCCCGTGGCCTGGAGTACAATGAGGTCAACGTCACCCTGGACCTGGGCCAGGTAGGGTTCCTTCTTTGTCTGTCACAGCCCCCACCTCTGCATTTCTGAGCCCAGGGTCCCCACCGGAGCACCCTCGGGCCAGCCAGGAGTCTGGGCAGACCTTCCCCTGGGGCAGGCCCAGCACAGAGGTGTAACCGCAGGCACCTCACGCGCTCTTTCCCCATCCCTGTGGTGAAAAGGCGGCCGTGGGGAGTTAGGGTGGGGGTGCTGAGGGTCCAGCATGGAGGCAAATGCTGAGCCCTGGTGTGTATTCTGAGGAATTCTTCTGCAGGGAGCCAGGCTCTGGCTTGCTGGTGTGGGAGGGGCCCCAGGAATGTGGAGGAGGCTGGTGGAAGTGGACATTCCTGGGATACCTGTGCTGCAAAAGCCCGGGGTCAGGTGTGCCTGCTCCGGGCCCTGTGCAGGCAGGAGGGTGGGGCCAGCATTTTCCAGAGACAAGAGCCCCCCTTGGTGGGCCCTGCTGGGTCGGACTAGGGTCCAGGGTGTGTCCTGGTACTGTGTTTCTTTGCCCAGGGGCCTGGCCTTGACATCCTGGCCTGTGAAGTGGGCCAGAGATCCCGTCGCCTCCTGGGATGGGGTGGGGGCGGGTAGATGAGGCCAGGCCTGCCTGGAGTTGGGGTGACAAGGTTGATCTTGCCAGACCGCACCCTGCGAGGTGGGGAAGGAGTCAGGTCTAGATGCCAGAGTCCAGGCCGTGTGACCCGGTGCGCCTGCCTGTTGTGAGCCTCCTCCTGCTGCGTGCGACCCTGAGGGTCTGAGGAAGGTGGTGAAGTGTCTCACCTGAGCTCACTGGAAGGGCAGACCCCACGGGCAGGTTTGGGGGACAGTGTCAGGCACCTCCCTGGAGGTCTACAGGTCTGGCCCAGTGGTTGGGTAGGCAGGGGGAGGAGTGGGTTTCAGTTCTACGGGTGGCCTGAAATTTTGGGGGCTCTGGACTGGCTGCGATGTCCTGGGGAGGTGGGGAAAGAGGCTGGGTGGGAACTAGGGAGAAGGCTGCCCCTCACAGGCTCCTGCAGGCAGGTCCCAGGGCTGGTGCTGGTACCTGACCCAGGTCTGGCTGGAGCTTTCATGGGGTTCCCAGCACGTCTGTGCTCTACTGTCCCTGGGAGCCTGGGAGGGACCTCAGAACCCTGTGTGCCCTGGGTCCCCTACTCTGGTACTGCAGGTCGGTCAGAGGGAACTTGTGCTGAGCTGGTGGGTTCTCGCTGCTCCTCCTGCTCCTCTTCCCCTCCCTCTGGGACAGGCCTGGCCAGGCTGGGGGAGGGGCGAGGGCCCTAGCTGGGGGTGCAATGGCCCAGTCTCCATGGTAACCCCAGAGTGGCCTTAGAGCAGGTGGGCACAGTGCCCGCAGCCGAGGTGCAGTGTGGGGCTGAGGAGGAGCTCTCGGGGTCCCTGCCCCTCTTGGCTCCGTGCCGCCTGAGCCGCTGTGAACCTGGCTGGAGATGTGGTGGCAGGCAGCTCATTTGCTCGGTAGACTGGTCCTGGGCCAGGATAGGGTTCACTGCGGGCACCTCCTGCCTCTCCAAGCCTCAGTTTCCCTGACTGTAAAATGACCCGCAGGAGAAAGGGGCCATTTCTAGGTCTGCGGGGAGGTGGACCCACCCCTCTACCTGCCATGGTTCCCTCCCCTCCCTCTCCTTCCTCTTCATCTCCCGAGCCCTCTTTCCCGTCTTCCCCACACACACCCGGTCCCTGCCTGCCCGAGAGCCCACCAAGCCCCGGTCTTGGTCTGGCCGAGAGGCTGCCAGCCTTGGTCGGGACGGGGTGGGGCCTGCTCACCGTGTGCGTTGGAGTTGGGTGGGACGATGGACCCAGCTCCCTCCAGGGTGAGAGGCTGGAATTCCGGGGGGAACAGGAAACGGGCTCATTGCCCTCCTCCCTGAGCACGAGCAGAGACTGGCTCTTTGGGGCGCCACTTGCTGGGGTTGGGGACGGAGACTAGGTCCTGCCCTCAGCACCCAGTCTGGGTAGAGGAGCCCACGTAGGGGAGGAAGTGAGGGCTCTGGGGGCCGGAGCACTGGGGAGGCATCTGGAGGTGCAGGCGGGCCCTCCTGGGCCCTCACAGTGACCCTGGGGTCTGTGCCTCCAAGTCTACCAGATCTGGCGTCAGGAGCACCTGTGCCTACAGTCCGATGGAGGAGGTGCCCAGGGCAGAGCCCTCCAAGCACGTTCCCTGGTGCAGATGAGGGACAGGCTGGGCGGGAGGGGCCCAGGGAGCCCAGCCCCCGACTGGGGTTCTCCCACTTTGGGTAATCCTTGGAGACGAGGGTCAGGTGGGGCGGGGCTTCCTTCAGGAAGTGGGGCTGAGTGGGCAGCAGGGTTGGGCACTCCGGTGGCAGGCTGCCAGCTGCCTTTGTTCTGGGATCTGGAGCGGATGCCCTGGAAAGGGGGTGGGGTGGCCAGCATGGGCATCAGGAGGCCTTTCTGCCTCTGGGAGACTGAGAAGGCCGCTGCTGTCTCACAGCTCCTCCTCTGCTGGGTGGGTCGCCCGGAGCTGGCGGGGGCAGCGAGCCTGCCCTCCTTCTGACCTTTCCCCTGTGGGGGACGTGGGACCCCCTTCCTTCCCGTTGCCGACAGAGCAGCAGGTCCCAGGAGCCAGGTCCTGCCTGGGAGGGGATGCAGGGCTCGGGCCTTGGGACCTTGCCCCGCGCCCTGCATGGATCTCTGCCCAGGACCCTCAGGCCCGAGACAGCCATTAGTGCCAGCCTCCAGGTGGGGCCGGCAAGGCTCCGAGGCTGGTGCCAGAGGTGCTGCGTCCCGAGTCCCAGTGTGTGACCTGCCGAGGGTCCTCCCAGGGGCCACAGGTTCTGCTTATCTCCTGTCCCTCCTGTGGGACCTCCCGTTGCCTTGGGCTCTCCCTTCGCTGCACCCAGTGCGGGGTGGGTGCTGTTTCCGAACTCCTGGGCTCAGGCCACGTGGTGAGGCAGGTCCTGACCCAAGTGCTCTGCCCCTACCAGGGGTTCTGCCATGGGGTCTCAGGCCCTCTGCCCAGTAGTTTTAAGGACCTGGGCAGGTGAGTTGAGGCCCATGGAGTGTCCTCCTCCCTCTCCAGACATCTCCCGGGTGGCCCTTACTGTGGCTGCAGCACGTTCCCCAGGTCCAGGTGAGGAGCGCTGGATCCCGGTGCTGAAGGGCCAGGTGGAGGGGCCCAGCAGGGTGACAGTACAGAGGGATGGCACCGGCCTTGAGGTCTAGGCGGGTGGCTGGCTGTGAGGCCAGAAGTGTGGGTTGGGGCTAAAAATGCCAGGTGAGGGGTCAGTGGCCTCCCTGGGGGACAGGACCTCAGGTGGGTTTGCTGAGGAGCAGAGCTCCGGTGAGCTGCCCTGGGCACCTGGGCACCTGGGCACCCGTGTGGAGGGACCAAGACCTCACCTGGCCTCCGTGCCTCGGTTTCCTCCTCTGTACATGGGGGGCGGTGAAGGCACCTGGGCACCTGCTTTGGGCCTTTGTACCTGAGCAAGGGCCCTCTGCACCAGCTCCTTTGGCTGGATCCCCGTTTCCAGGCACCACGCCCGCAGGCAGGTTGGCTCGGGGCGCCCTGTGCAGGCCGCCTGGTCCCCGCGTGCCCCGGCCTGGCTTCCCAGAGGGCCAGCGGGGTTATTCGAGGGGAGTGGCAGGAAGTTCAGCTGAGGCTGGCCAGGCTCTAGTTACTGAGCCCAGCGGCCAGGACAGGTGTGGGGCCTGGACTTGACACAACCCCTTGAGCTGGGCCATGGGGAGGTCCTGGGGGGCCAGGCAGGGCACCTCCTGCTCCAGCACAGGCGTCTCCTTGTGAGAATCGGCGAACCCTGCCTCTGCTGGGCCTTTTCCTGACAGCCCTTCATCCCTGGCCTGGTGCTTCCTGCCCCTCCGCAGCCACACACAGTCAGCCTGGCTGTTCGCCTCTGCTCACTTGGGTGCACACAGATGTCCCCCGCCCCTCACACTAGACGCCCCCCCCAAAGGCTCCTGTTTTCCATCTTTTGTTCTTTTATTATTATTATTGATTTTTAGAGAGAGAGAGAGAGGGGAAGGGAGAGGGATAGAGAGAGAAACAGCAATGGGAGGAACATCATTAATCGGCTGCCTCCTGCACGCCCCCACTGGGGATCGAGCCTGCAACCTGGGCATGTGCCCTGACCCGGAATCCAACCAGGGATTTCTTGATTCCTGAGTCAACACAACTGCTGAGCCACACCGGCTGGGCTCCCATCTTCGTTTTTTTGTTTGTTTGTTTGGTTTTATTGTTTTGTGTGTGTGGTTTTTTAAAAAATATATTTTATTGATTTTTTACAGAGAGGAAGGAAGAGGGACAGAGAATTAGAAACATCGATGAGAGAGAAACATTGATCAGCTGCCTCCTGCACACCCCCTACTGGAATCAAACCTGGGACCCTTCAGTCCACAGGCCGATGCTCTATCCACTGAACCAAACCGGTTAGGGCTGGTTGGTTTTATTGTTGCTGTTAATCCTCACCCGAGGATATTTTTCCATTGATTTTTAGAGAGAGTGGAAGAGAGAGGGAAAGTCAGAGAGAAACATCGATGTGAGACAACACACGGATCGGTTGCCTCCTGCACGAGCCCCGGCCAGAGCCTGGGCCTGGGCCTGGGAGGAGCCTACAACCAGGGCACCTGCCCTGACCAGAATCGAACCTGGGACCCTTTGGTCCGTAGGCTGACGCTCTGTCCGGCTAAGGCCCGTCTGTTTTTAAACAAACCCCACAACGTCGACCTCCAGCAGCGCCGCTCACGGAGACTAAACTGTTTGGGCTTGAGGTCCCCTTGGGATAAACTCCACTTCCTGTGGCCGGGGCTGACCACCTGGCCTCCTGGGCCTCTGCTGGGGGGAGGGGATGGGAGCAGGGAGCACCCTGAGGTTCTGGCCCAGGGGGCACTGACGCTCCACTCTAGCTGCTGAGCTCCTGAGCACCCAGCAGGGCCCTTCCACCCTCCCCTCCCCTGAAGTTCCCCACCTGCTCTGCGCTCCTGTTTGTTGGGCACCCGTCCCGCAGAGTCAGGCCCCTGGGCCTCTGCCTGTCCCTCTGCATTTCCATGCTTTACTGTTCCATTCCCCGCTCTGCTGGGGCTGGTCCTCCCTGACCTGGTGTGGACGGCTGTTCTTTACCCCGATGGGGGCCTGCATAGACTCACCTGCCCTGCCCTGACCTGCCCTGGCCCCTGCAGGCCGGGCCAGCCCCTGCTGTGGCGTTAATCTTTATCAAGGTTTCCAGAGGGATCTCTGCTGAGAGGGTGGGCACACTGGGGAGAGGGCAGACCTGAGGGGCTAGGCCGTGCTTTCAGCAGACCGGGGTAGGGGCACAGGCGCCGGCCCAGCACCTGGGCAGGGAATCCAGGAGGTCTGGGTGCCCCACTGTTCACTCGAGGGGAATGGCCTGGGAGCTAGCCCGGACGCTCGGTCTAGGAGGGGCTTCCTGCCTCCGCCCGGCCACAGCCTGGGACCCTGGCCCAGCCCCAGGAATCAGCCCTGCTTCCGGCAGGGCCAGGGCTGAGTCAGGACTGCCCAGTGATTCACGCAGCCTGCCTGGTGGGTGGGGGCTGGGCCCTTTGCTCCTGGCCTGCCTGGCTCTTCCTAGCTCTGAGATGGGCCAGGGCAGAGATGGGGTGTGCTTGCAATCCAGGGGTTCCAGCCACCACCCTGCCCTTGGTGACAGAGGTGCCTGAGCCCAGGAGGCTGCTGGCCACCCTCTGCGCCCTCCAGGTTCCATTCCTCTCTAGTGTTGTCCAAAACCCAGCCTCGGCCAGCCAGCGAGCATTCCCTCCCCACCGGGGCCTCCGGTCTCTGGAGCTGAGCGCGGCACCAGGCGCAGTGTCCGGACAGGTGCTGCTGCTTTTGCTTGTCTACCTCAGGGACAGGTGCATCTTCTGTGCAGGCCTCTGGCAGCCATCACGCCAGACTCCTGACCCCTGTCTTTCCCCTGCTCCTGTGCCCAGGAGGGGATGTGGCTACTCAGGGTCCCTTGGCCATCAGTGCCTGAGCCCACCTGGGCCTCCTGCTCTGGCCTGGCCCCCGTCAGGCATTGGTCACGGGGGCAGGGGGGCAGAAGCCCTCCTGGGGGGCCCTCTGTGGTCAGGCCGGGAATGGGGGCCAGGGTAGTGACCGAGAGGCCGTCCGGCTGCTGTCCTGGAGACGTGCCTGCCCCAAAATAGCCAGATTGTTAAAAATAACTCAGGAGGCTTTTGTTTGGCTTTTGCTTAAAAGACGTTCTTTCCTTCTGCAAAGAGCTCTGCAGCGGGAAAGGTCAGCCTGCGCTGGCAGCAGAGCCGGCGGGCGCTGGGGGCAGGGCGGTGGGCGCGGCCGCCAGGCTCTCCCGGGTCAGGCCCAGTGTGGCCTTGGGAGCAGCACCAGGTCGGGGACAGACCGAGAGAGAGCGCTGGGCTCATGCCTTTCCTCCCCTCCAGCCTGGGCCAGGGCCTCTGTGTGACAGACAGATGGCCAGGTGGACAGCCGCAGGGGCGGGGTCTTTCTCTGAGCACGTCCCAGCATGACGGGCGTGGGGGCAGTTCCAATGACGCCTGGTCCTGCCTCATCAGTGCCTTCAAATCAATATTTGTGCAAGTGCCCTCAGCTGGGAAACATGCAGCTGCCGCCGATGGGGGGGCAGAGCTGGCCAGTGGCGGCTGCAGCCTGGTGGCCTCGCTCAGGGAAAGGCGGGGGTGGGCCCGTGGCTGGGGGGAGCCTTCAGTCTCCTGGGGGCCTTGGGTGACTCACACACAGCCAGGTCCCCTGGGGGTCCCTGGAATGCTGAGGGTTGGCCAAGGTGCTGGCTCGGTACAGGGTCTGTCCCCCGGGGCGCACCCTCCCGCACCCAGCAGGGAGGGAAGATGACCTCAGAGCCTGGACATGGGTGACTAGGCTCCCCCCGCCCCCGCCCAGGAAGGCCCCTGGCTTGACAGGGGCCATCCCTGAGACAGGCCTTCCGGGAGGGCCACCTCAGCACAGGCGTGGCTCCGGGCGGGACCCTGCTCCCGCTGGCATCCTTAGCAGCCTGTGCCCCTAAGGGCTGGGCCTTGAGGGGTCACTGTCCCTCCATGGGGTCAACATGGCGGCCTTGGGCAGCCCTGGAGGGGACCCCTGCTCTGCCTCAACTGGTCGCGGGGTGATTCAGACCAGTGGACGCCCAAAGGGGACCTGCTCCTCTGGGCTGGGCAGGGCCCTCGGAGGGTACGGACGGTGGCCTGGAGCATGACATCACCCTAGGGTTCTGTGGACAGTTCAGAGCCCACAGGGGGTGCCCCTGTGAGCCGCCCTGGTGTGGAGGGCGGGGGGTGGGCACTCACTATGTGTGGCATGTTTACCAGCATGTCTGGGCCCCCCACTCCTGCACGCAGACTCGGGGTGTTTGTGTCCCCCACTACCCTGTACGGATCTCCTCGGAGCCCACACACAGAGTTCAGCATGTACAATGGCCGTCGGCTTTGCTGTTCCCTTGGCATTGGGGCCGAGGGGAGGGGCTTGTCCTCAGAGCTGCCTGGGAACCACCGTCCGTCCCTGTGGGAGACAAGCCTGGGGTGGGCGCTCCCAGGGGGCTGTGCGGGCAGAGGTGGGGTGAGCCTGTCACGCACCCACCTCGGGGCCTGGGTGGCCCTGCCCCGCCATCAAGGCCTCGGGCTGAGTAGGTGCTTTTGAGCCCGTGATGCTCCCAGGGGTCCCAGGGGTCCCAGGGGTCCCGGGGCCTTTCCTGGGGGCTGGGCCTGGGTCCAGGGTTCCAGTGCCGATGTGATGTGGGCCTCCGCCGTGTGCATCATCCCGGGGAGCGGGGTGAGGGGGGCCTTTGGCAGTGAGAACCAACTCCCCATGTTCCAGTCTGTCTTCCTCCCTGGGACCTGTGACAACAGAGGCATTGGGTCCAGCGGCGCCTGGACCATCCCCCCGGGGCGGGGTGCTTCAGTTCCGGGGGCTGTCAGAGTGAAGGGCGGGTTCAGATTGGCTCTGAGAGAGATGGGATCTGACCAGGTGAGACAGGACAGGTGCCCGTCCCCAGGAGGGGGTGTCACCTGCCAGCTGTGCAGTGAGGCCAGGCATGATGGGGGCGGCCACAGTGCCTGGCCACTGCCTGTCGGAGCTGTGTGACGGGTCGGGGGGAGCGTGAGCACCTGTCTTCTCCTTGACCAGCCTCTCTGTAGGGTCTGTAGATAGGCTGCCCCCCAAGTCTTAGCCTCAGAGCCCTAGGACCAGTGTGGCTGTTGTACTCTCGGGGCGGGGATGGGGAGGCAGGAGGGTCTGGGCCCTGGACCAATGTACCCCCAGATCCAGGTGGGGAGCCCTTAGGAATGGCAGTGTCCCCGGTGTAGCTCTCAGCGGCCATGGGCAGTCATCCAACCCAGGGGCTACTCCGTGAGCGGCTGACCCTCTCCCCTGGGTGTGGCTGGCCCTCTCCCCTGGGCGTGGCTGACCCTCTCCCCTGGGCGTGGCTGGCCCTCTCCCCTGGGCGTGGCTGGCCCTCACAGGAAAACGCACAGATGTCCACTGTGGGAGAAGGGAGCCCACACCCACCCCTCCCCAGTAGCCCTCCAGGCAAAAGGAGGGCCTCGGGCATCACCCCCTCCCCCTGCAGGTGTTCCATGTGGCCTACGTGCTCATCAAGTTTGCCAACTCCCCGCGACCGGACCTCTGGGTGCTGGAGCGCTCTGTGGACTTCGGCCACACCTACCAGCCTTGGCAGTTCTTCGCCTGTGAGTCTCTCGGAGCCCAGGGCTGGCAGGCGCGTCCCGGGTGGCGTTACTGCCCGCTCTGTCACACCCAGCTTCTGTTGGGTCAAGACTGTGGGGGGCGCACCCCAAAGGCAGGTGGGGCTCAGTGGCTCCCTTCCCTGACGTGGGACCAGTTCCACTTCACAGACTAGGCCATGAAGCTCTGGGGAGCTCAGGCACACACGGCAAGGCCGCTTTCCTGGCCCTGCACCCTCACTCCCCCCCGCCCCCTGATTCCGCAGCCTCCAGGAGGGACTGCCTGGAACGATTCGGGGTGCCGAGGCTGGAGCGCATCACGCAGGACGACGATGTCATCTGCAGCACGGAGTACTCCCGGATCGTGCCCCTGGAGAACGGCGAGGTGGGCCAGGCGGGTGCGGCGGGCCCCGCGGGGGGTGGCGGCAGCCAGGTGCCGGCCTGACTGCATCCTGTCTGCAGGTGGTGGTGTCCCTGGTGAACGGGCGTCCGGGGGCCATGAACTTCTCCTACTCGCCATTGCTGCGTGACTTCACCAAAGCCACCAACATCCGCCTGCGCTTCCTGCGCACGAACACACTGCTGGGCCACCTCATGGGCAAGGCCCTGCGGGACCCCACCGTCACCCGCCGGGTGAGCACGCCGGCCGGGCGGGCCACGTAGGGGCCCAGGTCACATGGGGGGTCTGGGCCATGTGGGGGTCCTGGTGGGTGGGCCGGGCTGGTGTGGGGGCCACGACACTCACAGCCGGGTGTGCAGTACTATTACAGCATCAAGGACATCAGCATTGGCGGGCGCTGCGTCTGCCACGGCCACGCGGATGTGTGTGACCCCGTAGACCCTGCAGACCCCTTCAGGTGAGATCGTCGGCTCCCTGCCCACCCCCTTCATCCCCTGCCAGCCCGGGGGGAGGAGGCCCGGTTCTACTGCCCGCCATGTCCCTGACCCTGTGAGCTGCACTGGCCGCCACGCCGTGGTGTCTTTCCCGTGTGCACAGAGAGGGGAGGGGCAGTGCCCTAGGCCCTGCTGCCAGTGGAGGTGAAGTTCTTGTCCAGGCCCCGAGCCCAGGGCCTGATGGACGGGAGTCGCCGTGGAGGCGTCAGCCTGCGGCTGCACATTCCTGTCCTCTGCCAACCCCACAAACACACTCCCTCCGCCCCCCACCCTGACCTTCACCTCCCACCATAGGCAGGCCCAGGGCCTGGACAGGGAGCTGAGGGTGCCGAGCCCCCACAGGCGCCCCGCACTGTGCAGGCAGCAGCCTTGGGCCTGAGTCAGCCAGTAAGGCAGGGCCCAGGCATCTGCATCTTTAACAAGCGGCCAGTGGGTGTGTGCCCTGTACCTTCCTTGCCTCAAAATCACGCAGCCCCCACACCACGCTCTTGGATTTGTGTCTTCTCTGTGCCTTCTGCTGGGGTTTTATTGCTTTGTCTGTACCCCAATTTATAGGGAGACAAGTGAAGCCCAGACAGCGTAGAGGCGAACCCCAAACCAGTCCTTTGCAGCCAATGGGTCTAAAGAGGGAAGGACAGGCAGGCCCTGGGGACCCACCTGCTGTCCACGCTCCATGCCGCCGCGGGCGCAGGTTTCTGCCTGCCGCTCTCAGGCAGTCATTGCTCTAAGAAACTTGGCGCCAAGTTAGAACTTGTGAGGCCTGGGAGGGGCGCACACCAGGCTGCCAAATTGGTCTCGGAAGAGAGGCAGGTCTGCCCTTGCCCACTGGGCGGTACCGGCACCCACCCTGACTCACCGGCACTGCACGTGGGCGTGGACGAGCTCAGCTCCCAGGCGGGGCACAGGGCTGCACAGCCTCCCCAGGCCCAGGCACCAGCACCCAGCATACGCCAGTGTCTCCACTCCCCCTCCCTAGACCTGGAAGGTCGTGGAGGCTGCTGCCAGTGTCTGGGTGCTCTGGCTGCTATAACAAAACACAGATCATGCTTCACTTCTCACAGTTTTGGGGGCTGCTGGGGGCCACTTCCCGGGTCCCAGAGGTGTCCTCTCACTGCATCCGCACATGGTGGGCAGAGGGCAGGGGACTCCGGGTCCTTCTATAAGGACACTAATCCCTTGAATGAAGGCTCCACCCTCATGACCTGACCACCCCATAGACCCCCAGGCCGCTGGGCGTCAGGTTTCACATGTGAACTGGGGGACACGTCAGTCTGTGGCAGCTGGTGAGTCTTTCCCGGGTCTGTGTGTCATCGCCTACAATGGCTGTTTGCCCTCACTCTTGGGTGAAACTTTAGCTGACTGTGAAACTCTGGCTGAAGGTCATGTCTCTCAACACTTCGTGGTCTCTCGTCATCTGGATGCTTGGGAGAGTCCCCTTTCCTGCGCATGTTGCCTGGGCATCTTCTGGAAGTTTCTGGTCTTGGTGCTCCGCTGGTCCACTCTGGTGTTAAGGGGTGAACATGTGTTCTCTGCCTCAGGACTCATGCTTTTTTTAAAAAATTGTGGTTTTTATTTTTTTTATTTTTTGGTAGAGAGAGGAAGGGAGAGAGAGAAACATCGATCGGCTGCCTCCCACACATGCCCCAACTGGGGATCAAACCTACAGCCTGGGTGTGTGCCTTGACCAGGAATCAAACCTGCCACCTTCCGGTGCACAGGACGATGCTCCCACCAATCGAGCCACTCGGCCAGGCCAGGACGCAGGCCTTTTGACACCCTTGGCTGTCAGCTCTCTGCCTGCTGGGCTCCTCATCTGCCCCTTTTCTCCTGGAATTCGGTTATGGTTTCCTTCTGTCCCGGGCGTCTGGACCCTCGCCTGTCTCCACACTGCTTCTTCCGCTCAGCCTCCTCACTGCGTCTGCCCTGCTGCGCAGCCCACCCATTGAGCCTTAAATGCAGTCATTTTGCTTCTTGTTTATAGGAATTCTGACTGGTTCTTTAGTCACACCCACCTATTTTTCTTTTTAATTTAATTTTCCCACCTATTTTTCATGAATTTTAGCTGCCTTAGGTGAGTCCTTAAGCGTCCTTGTTTCAGGCGTCTGCCCATTGCTCCGTGAAGCTTTGGGGTCAGCCCTGTCTGCTGCGGTGGCGGCCCTGCCCCTCTGTGCCTCCCGTGTGCCCTGGATCGGGAAGGAGCCTCCCGAGTGGCTTTGTGAGGGCTTTTGCCAAACACACTGGGTATCACCAACCTGGCACAACTCTACGCGAATTCCTTAGCTTAGGGGTGCCCTGCCCATGTCGATCATTGGGAAGTCTAACGGCAGCTGCAGCCTGTGGGTGCCTCCCTGCGGCAGACTGTCCTGCCCCCCCTCTCCCTGGACGCCAAGGGACAGCAGTGCTGACGCCCAGGCCCTGCGGACCCTCGTGGGGACGGGGTTAGGGTGGTGGGGGTGGAGCTCTGGGTCATGCACAGCGCTGGCCCAGGACCCAGAAACACACAGCTCAGATGGGCCCACTCTGGCCCCACCTTGGTGACATATGGCCTAGGCCGGGTGGGGCTTTGGCATGAGTGTCTGCAGGAGGTGGCCGCAACCTCCGTTCCCAGCTGCGGCCCGCTGTCCCCGCCCCTGCCAACAGGAGCTGCTGTCTGGGACAGCAGGCAGGGTTCCAGCCCTCCCCCGGTGGCCGCCCCCGGCTGGAAGGGGGAGCTGCGCTTGGCCACCTGCCTCTGGGGAGTGCCCGGACTCACGGGCTTCGGACTGAGCTCAGGGCTGCCTGCCGAGCAAGACCGGGGCTTCGGGGCCTGGCCTCGGGGGG